GGGACCCTGGAATTGGTCGTGACGACTGCCAAGACTTCAGTGAAGGCAGAAGTTGTGGCTCGATCCCGCGGCTTGTATGACGTTACTTTTATTCCTCAGGTGAGCAAAAAGGCGATTGGTGAAGAAGAAAAGAAAACAATGAGAATACCGTATTGCATGTTTAATTTAATTTAATTAAGGAAAATTCCCGAATATTCTACGGTATCATTACGGGTTAATGACAGGGCGTCTTCGTCTGGAAAATTTAACTGCAGTGAAACTTACAATGATCTGGGATGAGAAATGTTGATTTTATTTGATGAAGTAGATAAATTTCAAGAATGGGGTGTTCTGGATTTGATTTTTGCAACTTTCGGAAGTATACAGTACAGTATTCGAGAGTAGATGATTCACGTAAAATGATGAATGATGAATCAAATCAATGCTTGAAAATTGTACGATTTAATAATTTAATGGAGGAGCTAGGAATCGTGCGAAATTCAATTCGAACAGAAGTGCTGTAAATGAAGCGTCTTATACGAAAGGCTGTATTACATCTGTAGTAATGCAAATTTTAATGCTGGTTAGACGATAATAAATTTTTTCTCCGTTTATGCGTACGTGTGGGAGAATTTCTCCGGGCGTCGCATTTTATTGTTTTGTCGCCAATGTTGTGCAAGAAAATTTAATTTTCTCCGTTTGCTGATTTAATTAACGACGTTGATTCGACGGATGGGATCTCTCTGCATTTTTCTTTGTTGATTTTGATGTCAGTGTTCGATTCATTCGAAAGGGCATTGATCTGATACGATTCTACGATTTTATTTTTCTCGCAAGTAATGGCCCTTTCTCTCTCTCCCCCCAGGAACCGATCCCTCACTTCGTCAATATTACGTTCAACGAGGAGGAAGTTGCCGGGAACCCATTCAAATGCCAGGTGGGACATTTTTTTCCTGTTCTTCACCGAGTTTGACGTAGAAATTGTACCATTTCTGCGGCTTTTTTTAAGCCGTGTGGAAATTTAGAATTTTACTTTTAGTGAAAGAACTTTTTCTAATATAGAAGAAGCATACATTTCTAGTTTGGTGAACTTTGTGTGTGTGTTTTTATGCTTTCAATTGAAGAAAAAATTTCGGATTTGCCAATTACAGTATTTTGTAAATTTCACTGTTCATAAGCTTTTTTTTTAATTTTTTTGTAATTTGTAGTTTTCAGTTCACACACTGTATGGAGGAACCCGGAATGTGTTTTACTGATTTCTATGTATTGTACTGTAGATTAAATATTTTAGAACTTTACATTTTTAGTGGCTGTTTTCGATCGTTATGAATCAATGACGTCCTGTACATGGGAACGTTTAACAGTTGTGTTTTGGTAGCTGTGATGAATTACAATGGCATTTCCGCAAAAATTGGTAGACATAATTTTAAAGCTGAAAAGGCTTCATACTTCGTTATGAAATTTTAATTCTTTTTTTTTTTATTTCATAGATGTAGTTTATAGAACATTGTAGACTCGAAGGAGAAAGGTTTGCTTCGATTTTGTTGCTTAAAATCCTACTAATCTTTGATGTTGTGACAGGTGCGTGACTTGGACGCGAAAGAGATGAAGCACCTGAAGCGCACAGAGTCGAAAATGGTGTCCGTAGCAGGGGACGGTTTGCGTGAGGTCGTCGTTGGTGCACCGAGTCGATTCCAGATTGACACCAAGGGAATGGACGGGGATGTGGATGTGCGTGTAACGGGCCCTGACGAAGAATCAATTCCATGCCGGGTTCTGAGGGCGCAGAACGGATCCAGTGGGCTCTACAGGGCCGAGTATAGGCCGGAAGTCGCCGGACTCTACAAGATTCAGGTAATGATAAATAACGAATTAATTTTTCCTGGGTTTTGCATTATGTTTTTTTTTTAATTTTTGCTCATTTCTTCGTGTCTTTTAGCGACGACGGAGTGAGATTGAAGAAAATTATTTTTGTTGATATTTGTTATTTATCTCCAGGATTTGAAAATATGCATGACTTGAAGGAAAAATCGCTGATATTCCTTGTGTTGCATCAAATTTTAATTTCTTTTTTTAAATACATGCCATTTTTGGTTGGAGTTCTTCGGTTTCTTGTGATGCAAAAAAAAAATAGTATTCAGCTAATTTGGACAATGATAAAGTAGTGTCGCCTTTAAACGAAAATGTGGAATTTTACGCTTAATCGTCGACTTTTTTCCGAAAACCGCTTTTTTGAAATTACTATACAGTAGTTGTCTGCTTTGAT